GTTATATCGACAGATAAAGATTATTTATAATAACAAAAATATATTTAACATATACATTTTTATATATCCTGAAAATTCATTATTTATTGCTTTTACTTGTTGCCAATCTTGAAATTATGCTCTGTAAATATCCAAAGCTTCTGTGGTCGATACTAATCTTTATTCAACGAGCAATTTTCTGAGAAACGGAAGTAATAATGTCCGAAAATTGAGATGCCTTCTTTTTACCTCTCTTTCTTGAAATCCTCACCGAGTTCACGCCTTTTTTCGCTGCTAGTGATAGAAGAAGGCTAGTCACAAATATGGAAGACAATATCAAATTGAAATATGTATCTATTTCTATTATTCACTTCACGTGTTTTTTTTTTTCGTTTTTGTTTTTCGTATTAATTTTATTATCTAGACTGAGCGTTATTTACTTATTTTCTTTGTGTTTGATTTTTGTTTCTTTGTCTTATTGAGTAAGTTTTTTGTTGTTTACTTTTTTTTATTATAATAGGAAATAACATTTGTATGAATGGTGCCTTGTAGACTGGACCTCCTGTCGTGTATAACGTAAAACATCACTTTAGTGTCCTTTTTAAGGATAATTTATATTTCTGGCGCTATTTACTTCCTTATTAAACATCACAATCAATTTAGTACGTCCGTATGAATCAGTTTATCAATTTTTTGTAATATATAAAGTTAGTTTCGAGTGAAGGTTTATATCATTGATGTGAATCGAAGATCTCTTAGTGTAAGCGCTCAAATATTAATTGGTAAGAAATTTTATGTGCACAAAAACTGATCTAATCTTATAGGTTGGTTAATAACGATTAACGGAGACATTACATGTACTATATAAGGTTCGTATTTAGGCCGAAGAAGTTTTTAATATCATAGTTGAATATTCCTTATTATTCAACACAAATTATTCATGGCCAACGTCAAGCTAACTGACATATGGAAAGTGCAAGAATCTATCAATCTCTTAGTAATGCCAGTACCTCTTTTGATTCAAAATATTATACCTTTTTCCTAATTGTGATTACCGATTGTTCCATCTTGTAATTTGTTTCCTAAATTTCCAGAAAACACAAATTTACAATAAGTAAATAATTGATTTGTGTATAATATTGCACAGTGCCATTTCATATATTAATTATTTTTATTTTAATGAGTCGTTCAACTTTGGTATTAATTATTTGCTGATTTTGGTTTTTGTGCAAATAAATTTTCTACTTTTGTAAATTAGATTGAGATTCGACTGTATTTTGAGCTACTGTATTTTAGCATAGCGTTTTTCTTCAAATTTCGGAGAGACACCCTGAGGACCAAAAAAAAGCGCTGAACAAATCGCCCGTTTAAAAGAAAACACTGGTTCCTAACGAAAGGGAATTCTATTTTGTATTTTTCACGGTGTCCTTAGTCCTAATACTTAGTCCGTCGAAATCCTTAGAGGTAGTCTTTAAAGCACTAGTTTTGAAAAGTTAGTTGTAAATAAGTAGTTTTACAACTTCAGTAATGTAGTGGTGTATCTTATCAACATCTGGAACAATTTTGTTTGTTTTTGATGAGGGGGAAACCGAATATGGCACGTCGTAAAATCCGTTTTTAGGAAAATTATGAATAATCTATAGGCAATTGTAATTCCTCAGAATACAAAATTTGATACCATTTTAATTGGACCCAACAAAAACATAAAAATCTCAATTCAAATAAACGCAATATCATTCGTTATCGTTTATGAATAACCTGATTTTTTTCTAGGGCAAATAAAAATAAGCATTAATAAAAATTGTAGCACTATGTTTTAATACTATACAATTGTATATTATCAGGTTATTACGATGCTAATCGTAAGTAAAAATTAAAGTTTGATGGGTATTTTTATTGAGTAGAATTAAAGTGGTATGAACGTATATAATTTCAATTGAATACCGTATTGATTTAGTACAATTTTAACGTTAAACTAAACAATATGATAAAACGGTGTGCCATAGGCGTAAAATGTTGTTAAGACTTACAAAACGATTACAGGAAGACTGAAAAAAGTATTTTTTTTGCTTTATTATATTTCTAGAAATGTTTTTTTTTTTCAAGAGAACTTAGTCCATGTACTTACTACATATCAAGACAAACATAGCACCGAGATTATCTTTAATAAGTAACGATTAAAAGGTACAGTGCGCAAGTTCCAGAATTAGCCAAGATGCACTATTATGTCCGTTTTAAAAAGCTNTATGATTAATATTATAAATATTTTAATGCCCCCTATTTATTTAGTAGGTTTATATTTGCTGTGACGTCGTGGTTTCGTGGTGTATGTGCGAGTTTAATGATAAATTTAACTATTAGTTAGATGTATCATATAAGAGGCTGGCTATTTTGTATCTACAGTCGGAATTTTTAAATTTTTCCCTCTGTCTGCAATATTTTAATTATTACAGATTAAGTAATAAAACAATAGATTGTTTCATCAGTTTATCAAAATTCTACATTTGTTTCAGTCTTACTCTTGAAAATAGTTTATTAATTATTGAAATGCCCCTTTGGCGAATTTTCTGTTCATTCTGTTCATTCGCAATTGTTTTATAACGTTATGTGTGATTTGTATCATTACGACGAACAAATTACTGTTGATTATATTTTTAAAGTAAAACGGGAAAAATACGAAAATCCGACCGTAAGTGACGTTTAAGCGCATAAATGCCATTCTCCTTTGATATGATAAGATTAAAAATTTATACTTGATACCTACTTTTGTAAATAACGGTATACACCAATAAAGTTCATTATGTTATTCTTCGTAAACAGATTTTTAGGAGTCCGTGTCAAGAGTCCAAAGAAAAAACTAGGGAAAATTGAGCACATAGGTAAAGAAAAGTTATTTGTAGGATATATTTATTATAACTTGATCAAATGAACACAGCCACAACGTAATATGAACACGAATTCATATACATTAACTTTTTTCTGAACAAATTGATTTTAGTAGTTGAAAATAAATAATACATGCAACACATGATCTAAACAATGACTGATTAATTAAAATTATTATTTCACACCCAAGAATGCCCTATTAAAATGTATAAAATTATATTTAATTAGAAATGTTCAAACTTCTGTTAGCATTTTATGCTTTTTAGACGTTTTATATACACACATAACATATTTCAATTTACGTTGTATTGCATTCATAACTTGACTTGTAGATAGCGTACTTCTTTTGCTAAAGAAATTCAGATAAATTCCCAACAGAACCAGCAAGCCTGACCACACATACCTATGTTTAAAAAAAAAAATACATAGTATACAGTCATAAGGTAGAAGGAATGATAGGACTTACCTAAATACAAATGGTTTGCTGAAGAACATGAATGATATTATGATTGTCACAGCCTTTCTACAAGTTGTTACTGTAACAGCAGCAAACGCGCCACATGTTCTAACCAGTGTTAGAACGATTTGTATTCCTAAATAGCCTGTTATGGAGAAAATGAAGGTGTATCCATAACATCTAATTGGGTCCTTTAAAGTAATAGTTCATTGAAAGAGTTAGGTAATTATATCATAAGTAATGAGAAAACTTAGATTGAAGAAAAAACTGAATATGTTATATGAAGGAAAGGCATAGCAAAAAAACTTCAGTAGACAAAGCATATTGTAAATTTGGAAGGGAATATACCAGAATAAATAATAAACCCAAAGTGTGATTAGAAACAAGGGTCATTTTTTATACATAATTGTACCAAAAAGAACTTACTCTTGAGTAAAATGTAAGTCCATGTTGAATGTCTCCAGTTACTAACATAATAGAAAATAAATAGAGGAATCCTATAAAATATGAATACATAACAACTTCACTATTAGGAGCTCCATAATTTTTCATTGACTTCTCTTGTACATTTCCTATAATTGCATCACACAACAGAGCAGCCGATATCATAATGACACCCTTAAAATTAAACTTTGGAGACACTTGAGAGTCAGCTTAAATTGAAACTGGCATTAAAAATACAACAAATGTTCATCGAATGAAGGAAAAACTTACTCAGGGTAAATAGGATTAATCCTAAACACATTATAAATGCAGATAAAAAATCTAAAGGTCCATATTTTTTGCCCTGTATTAAAATACTTCCTATTAACACTGGAATGAGCTTACAGCATTTAAAAATAACCTGTGTTGGGTAGTTTAAATAACCAACAGCTGTGTTAGAAAAACCCATAGTTCCTAATGTTAGAAGAGCCAAAAACATGTACAGTTTTATAGGAATTCTAAAAACAGATTTATAGAATAACTTGATTTGCTTTTAGATGGTGAAACTTGCTTTCTAGTTATAATGTTTTGAACATGATTCTCTAGGTAACCAAAAATCGAATACATTCCGAATTGAATTAACGTTAAGAACCAGCCATACTCTTCGAAACCATCGATAGTGAAGATCAGTTCTTGCATGTATCCATAAATTAGAAAAAATGCAAAAACAGCGACACTACAAAAAATAAACTGCTTCTTCTGACTGAAACTGGTAATATCCAAACACAAAATGTTTATACGTGTCCTTTCTTGGTTGGAAGTAGTGGGTATCTTTATATTTACTGACATCTTAAAGGTTAATTATTAATATAAAGTTAATTTAATTAAAAATCTTGAATAATTAGTACTACATTTTCTTAATTAATTTTAAGGTTAGTGTTTCAAATTTTTGACATTTATGATGTTGGCAAAAGCCAGAGATGTCGCTATTAGTATTAATCTTCTCGTAGAAATGTTATTTAGTTAGTTCTGTTAGGTTTGTGTTGCTGTAGATTTAAGTGAATTTATTATGTTTCTAAACAAAAAAATGTTTAAAATTTTAAGTTTACTTTAATTTAATTATTATTCTAATATTTTTTATCAGAAAATGTAAAAACGATAGAATGTAACGTTGCCGACCGGAAAGTAAACAAATCAGTGACATCTACCTACACAAGGAAGAGTTGAGAGGAATAATAATGGCCGATCGCTGAACCAAGTGCTCTTGTAATCTTTCGTGATTTTTGCAGTGACGGCATAAAAAATAATTCATAATGATTATAATTCGGTGAGATTGACTTTCGTGATAGTTACAATATTGTGAGTATGTACTGTACTGTTGATAAAAGTTTTAGTACCGGAGCTTCAACCACGCAGCGAAGGAATGCAAAAGAAGGTAACTTATTTAATATTAATAATTGCTAATGTACTTTTTTTTACAATAGGAAATCTTATGTGTGTCATTATTGAATGTCCGTTGTTAGATTTGTCTACAAGTCACATCTATATATATGTTCATTAATTTGTAATAAGATTGCGGGAAATTCTTTACCAGTTATGCTAGATTGGTAGGTGATATACTGTGATTGTGAGTGGGTAGAATCTGTATTTTAAAGTAATTATTTGTCGACATAATCCGGTGGATGATAAATTGATACTAAAACTAGGTATAATGTGTGATACAATCTTTTTTATTATTTCACTTTAACTTATTTTGCCTAAATTATTTTCTGAGAAAAGTTGCATACTTTTCTAACCTATCTATAAACTTCAAATGTATCATACAATTAATACCTACACAGGAGACAGGATAAAAAAAGAAAATAGTTTTAAGGCTTCATTTTGGTTTATTAAATTTAGTAGAATCCACAAAGATTGGTCTGATAGGTAACTTGGGATACAAGTCTTTGATAAATGCTTGTACCTACCTACCTATTACCTACAAATTTTTATTTGTAAGTATGTATTTTTCTATGACTTCAGAGCAGCTAATAGGTACTTAGATATTTATCAAGAGCTCTATTAAATGGCCTTTTTGGCCTGCAGCCCGTAGATATAAAGGGCTTCTTGCTCTCACTGAAGATAATTTATAATTTAGAAAATAAAAAAATCTAAATACTTTATAATTCATATAACAGAACTACATTTTTTTTTTTTTTGAAAAAATAGTAATTAGTTTGATTAATTAAGTAAGGCCCCAAGTTGGGTTAGCACAGAGCCCTCCCATATTCACAGTCCTCCCCTGTACTTATCTATCGTAAGTACAGAAAAATTACGTTTAAGGTATGCCTGTTATATAACTCAGTATTTAAACTACAATAGGTACATGTTATGCAAATACTTTAATAGTTTTATTGCAGTTTGCAGTAGATAGGTGCATATCTAGTTCTATAAGATGAAAGGATTAAACAATCTACATTCCTTTTGATTTTATAAATGTTTAGCAAACATTGATAACAAAATGTAGGCATAATCGCTCCAACAAATCATATTTGTGTATTTGGTAGGTGTATGTGTATTTTTTGTGTACTTTTACATATTTAAAAATAACTTCATTCATCTGACAAATTTTCGTTCTATTATTACAATAATTGTATTCAGCAACAACTAAAATATAATGCAAATTCAGTTAACTCATTGTAATTTTTCCTTTTAACTCCAGCACTTCGTGTTGATCTTTTTCATTCGAAATACAAAAGTATTTACATACCTTTTATTAACGAAACTTCAGTGCGAAATTACAGACAGCCGATAATAAAAATAGCAAATGTTGCTTTCTTACAAGCAAGTAGTTATTGTAAAATGACATGTCTACGGGCTATAATATATTTGTCGTGATTGACTTTTGTCATTTCGTTTTATTATTACTAATTTGTCCATTATTTATTTAAATGCTGCAGCGTTTTGGCCTGCTAATGAATAGCAAATTGCTTCACTGATTTGTACGTTCATTTTTTCTAATGTTACTTATCACGATAGATAAACGTTGTCAATACAATCATTTTGCATTTACTTTAAAATAGTTTAATGAATCTGTTGGCTAGACAGAATATTTTGTCGTGTTCTTTCAGCTTCTGATAAATAGACACTTATAAACATTTTATAGGTTTTAGTATTTGCTGTTTGTCACATACATTTCATTACAACTTAATGGTCAAAATTCTCTCGGTCGCATCCCTTTTAGGTGCACTCACCGTCTACCTGAGGGTTGCAGTGTTAGTTAAGTTTGTAGTAATTTTTGATTTTCTGTAAATAGATTTCTACAGATTCGTCCAAGCCTTTAGGTCATACTGCTGGGTCTATTTATTTCTATTGAATAAGGTCTTTTATAGATGTTATCGATTAAGGGGATGGGGAGAGTGGTGAAGATAAATGAGAATGAATGGTTAAAAGTGAAGTAGGTGGTAGGTGAGCCTAGAAAGTTGTTGGTGTTTGTTTGTACAGGTTTATAAAATTGTTCAAATTTTGAAATTAATTAACGAGTGTTAGTATAGTAAAGTCGATAGTTGTAGTATTAAAATTTACAGGAATTTATGCAAAACAAATTGGCAAAAGCTTTTGTGGCGAGTAGGTAAACTGATGCTGTTTTGATTTGGATCTAAAAGGCCGTCGTGTGTTAATAGAAGGTCCTCTGAAGAAGTTCGCTACTCGTACTACCGAAACGTTAGAAAGAAACTCCAACACACGACGGGATGTAGACCCGAATCAGAACAACATGAGTTCAGTATATGGAAGTTTTGTGGAGATGCAATTAGAAACGGACCTGAGGACCTTTAAAATTGACAAAGGAATGGAAAGTGATAATATACCAATAACTGAAAATAGATTGGCCTTGCAATAAAGTGGCTGAAAGTTTGAGTTGTGCGTTATCCCATGAGTAAAAGTTAAACATCTGTTAAACGAAATAAAGATAGGTAGTCGCCCAAGGGACGCAACATCATCTTAAAGTTAGAGACGTGAAAAGTATATCGTCACAGGACGTTGGCGCCTCTAATTCGTCAATTTTGGATTTTCATGTGGGTTATAGATATAGTTGAGTAGTTCTCCATGGCGTGCAGCAATGGTTCTGCAAATTTATTAATAAAATCCAAAAAAATGAAATTACGCGATGCTAATTTCATGCCGCATCCTCTTATAGTAAGAAAAAATAGTTCTGATAGGAAAAAGTGATAAGAAATAAAGAGTTCTACAGTTAGTGATGCTTTTTACAAAGAATTCTGCAAAAGAAAATTTTTGAAAATTTTCGTATTCAAGTATTCGCAGAGTTCTTGGCAGTCCTTAAAGTGTTGTATCGGAAAATTCTCTTGCATTTTTACGGGAACTCTATTATTAAAAGTTCGGGTTGCTGGCTATTTTTCGACTCAAAACAGCGAGTTACACGTCTAAAGATCACTCGTGAGTTGCGAGTTTCTATCCAGAACTACCTCCGACTGAGTATCTTACATATCCGGAACACTTTCTTTTCTTAAACCTCCATTTTTCGACCGAGAACGAAATATTTGGACTACCCCCATCTGTTGTAGAAACTGGCGATTCTTGCGTGGCAATAACTTTTAGACTTATAACTTGCCAACTATTTCATTTCGGTTTAAATATGACCATCACCTCAGAGTTCTGGGTGGAAAAACAATTGCTCTTGTATCAAATACTCATCCCCGGATAGTTCCGGGTAGAGTTGCTAAGAAAAACTCGCCTGGGTTTTGTAGGCCTATGACTCTCGGAATATTCCGTTTTGGGTCCAGAAATGGCCAGTACCCTGGAGTTTTGAGGTGGAAATGGAGCTAGTAGGGCTAAAAAAATACACGACTTGGTGTAGTTCTGCTCAGAACTACTATAAGACCTCATAATTTAAAGCCACGAATTCGTAGGTTAATTTTTATTTACCCTGTTTTTCAATCGAGTTCTCGCGAAAATGCAAGAGGCTTTTCGATACAACTTTTCAGGAACTTGCCAGAGGCCCTATCAAAACTTGAACAATATATTTTTTTATGAAAACCATCACAACTCTTTATGTCGTATTCTTTTTAGGCATCAGAATTGCGGCATGATGCTAGTACCCCGAATTTTATTTGTTTTTGGTTTTATTACTAAAAATGCAGAACTATCCACGCATTTCATCGACAACTGTAATCTATTGGTAGAGTACAGAACTCACAAGAAGGTTGCAAATTGATAAATTCCGAATTCGGTAGTAGATTGACCAATTACACCGAGTTCTAAAATGGAAAAACAGTTCCGAGGGTGTAAAATACCCAAACTGAGGTCGAGTTTGTAAGGGTAGTTTTCCATACAACGCCTTAGGGACTAACCAGAACTCCAGCCAAAACTTGAATTTGAAATTTTTTAAAATCTTCAGATTTTGCACGATATTTTTACAGAACTTTGCAAAATATTTAGAAACTCTAGAATTCTTAGTCATCGGGTAATTGTTTAGCTACGATAAAAGGATGCGGCATGAAGTTAGCACCCCGTTATTTAATTTTTTTGGATTTTATTAATAAAAATGTAGAACTGTAGGCTCACTGTCTCAAGAACTTTATCTAAGGAGTACAGAACACAACAAAGTTCAAAATTTGTGAATTGGGTGTTCCAATTTCCTGGCGATGAAAAGTATTCAGGATTTTGTAAGTTTTCGGTTGGAAAGTTGGTAGTGGATCTCGCGGGCAATAGCTAGTGAGTGCATAGATGATAAAAACAAGCTGACCAAACATTGTGGTAAAGGCTTGGTTTTTGCGTGGTAGTATATTATAATCTGATGTGTGATTTCTATAGAAACTCGTTTGCCCCATAATCACATGCAACAGATGTTAAATGTTATTCGAGTTCCGTCTTCCGTCTGTCCGTTCTTGATAATAGTTATACTGGC